CGTTCCAGTGATTCCAAACAGGGTTCCAGCCACTCTAAACCCTATTTACATCTGTTCTCACAGTAAGTGTAGACAAAATTTCTAAATAAAAATGCGATCGGTTTTTTCTAGGCTTAAATCCTAACATTGCAATGGTGTTTTGATGTTCTGCAAAATCACAGAACACAGATATAAAATTAATTACATTAAGTGGAGAGAAACTGGGAATGACTGACTGTGCGTTCTGACTATAAATTGTTTCAGACTATTTACACAAACCCTTTAAAAACCCAAATAACCTCTAAGCGCTGAGGCTGGAATGTGGTTTATAAAGGTGTACAGTCCATCACCAACCTACAGATAAACTACAGTTTTTCCATGGATCTAAATGGTTGCAGGAATAGGAACCATTTGGTTCTTATTCCTGCCACCATTCAGTGGTGGGAACAGCTGTAACCTAAAAGCTTATAGTGGAACTAACTTAACATTTATTGGAATCATGTTTTTCTACCAACTTTGATAATAATTGGGAGGCAGATTATTTTCCATACCAGCTTTCTGAGTGACAGCCTCTCTGAGAATCCGATCACAGGAAACCATCACACCCAAGTCGATCACCCTGCAACAGACCGAACAAGCTGGTGAAATTCTCTGAATGTGGCTGAACATCTACGTTATAAACATCACTCAACGTTATCAGGAGGACATCAGGAAGACTCCCAGGTGCTTCATGAAAACCTTGTTAATTCCCCCAAAATCCTGCCTTCAGGTAATATAGTCTCATTTTTTTTAATGATTTTATACAAAGGAGTGAAAAATAAAAAGAATATGTGAACATCCTCCATGTCTCTGCTGTGTGATGCTTCATCTCATAAAACTTTAATCAAAATGATGCGTTTTTAGGACTTTAAGCTTTCCAAAAGGAATTCCTTCTCCTTCTGTAGCGCAGAAGTATGGAGAGAACTTTGCTCCATTATTGTTACCTAAAATTAACACGTTTACTAAACGGAAATTTCAAAGAAATTTCAATCGAGACGCAAAATTTTGAAAAAGAAAATTTTTAATAAGAAAAAACAAGTTTTGAAAGTAACCCTGCCATTATCTCAGATTTAAACTTTTTTCTCATGTTTTATATTCTTAGATGCACAATAGAAATGCATCATCGCTCCTAACTCCATAGGACGGAAAATCTGACAACATCTATGCAGGTAAACATGGACACTTTTTCTATGGAAGTCTGTTTTTGCCACATGAATATAAAAAAAATGCCAAATAGAAAGTCAGAATTATGAGATAAAAATTTTGAAAGTCAAATATCTCATAGGTATGAGTTTGTATCTGATAATTATGACTTTGAAAGTCGAAATTATCACTTTTCATCACATAATTATG